TAATGTTTCGAATATGAAGGGAACTATCGGAAATGTAGTTTGATCTACGCTGCAAACAGAAAATTTGAATTATTTCTAAATATCTTAAGAAAATTTGATAATTTCATAACTACTAGGTGCATCGCATGAACCGTCGACATATAGCATGATTGAGGATAATGCAGGTGGGGATTTGAGTGATGTGTTCAAATCACAAGAACACTAATATCTTTGTATTTGGCGACGATATCTAGTGCACTCATAAATAATTTCAGCTACAAATGGTAAAACCCGAATTATCAACCGTAATTAAAACATTTGTCCGCCAGTCTGAGACACCTAGCAGCCATTATATTTGCAGTTACTGATTATCAGCAGGAAGATTACTATTCAAGCCAATGGAGATTTTCACACTAGTAATACAGGCAGGTCCGCGCACATTGAACGAACGACTAAAATACACAAGTAAATAGATAAGATAGTGATTGATTAGGGGCCACTGAAATTCGAAGAGCAACTACTTTTTTGTGTACTGTGCGAAGGCTAAAGAAAACCAAGCAAAGGGAATATACTTTCCAAGTATTCGTAATGTGTAACCGAAATATTAAAAAAAAAATTATCTGGCTTGATGAGATTTTCATTACAGAAGTTTAATAAATATTTTTTCCTTCGTCTACCCCCTTATCCCTTGTTGTTATCGTGGAGGTTTAGGAGACGGAGACTGGGGCCCAATGTAGGGGATAAACCCTACCTTGGACCTCAGCACTTGCCTCAACCAACTTTGCATGGTCTTTTCTTCTCCCCCTTTCCTTTCTTTCACTTCTTCATCCCCTTCTCTCCACTTCCTAAAGTGTGAGAGCCGTGCTGAAAGGATGAAAGGCTGGCTTTGTGTCAGTCATGAACGGCCTAGTGGAGCCATGGGTACGGTATCTCCCTGGTTAATCGCCCAGCCCTCATCCTCATGGGGACCCTGAGGTTTTCTCTCCCCATTTATTTCAGGGTCACTATGGCCAATAATGAAGCTTTTTTTTACTCTAATTAGGGGCATTAAGGCTTGTCCCTTCATCAACATGCCTATACATGTTTGTCCTTTACGCGTACATTATTGGAGCAAGTTGAAGCATCCTTCCATTATTTATCAAAATGTATGCCTTCAATTTGATACATTTTGATACACTCCGGCCAGCCAATCAGATGGTTTCGCGATATTTTTCGGGTATATTTTTACGTAATCTCAGATGGAGATTTATATTTTCAATAATTACGAATCGCATTGTAAGTTTCTTGATATAACTTTCTACTGTAAAGATACATAAAATGTTTCTGTGCCGTTTTAGCAGTACATCAAATACATGTTCACTCTATATGGGTAAGATTTGAAGTCAATCATGACGGTCGCTGGAACGTCATAGTAAGAATTTCTAACGTGTCTGAGTCATATGACATGATTGACGGCGGTAGGATGAATGTCTTCAAAATCATTCTCTACGTCTATGATATAACTTTACAAGCTCAAAAATAAATATTAAAAAAATAAAGTGCATCTTTATCGATATATTTTAATCAATAAATCAAGTAAATGTCCGTGATCATTGGAATTACGCAGTTGTCTGAGTTGGACACGGAAATCGCTCGCGGTGGATACGACGAGATCCGACTTCCACAGTTCATATGAATTACAATGTATGTAATAAGAAAAAAAAAAGAAAAAAAAGAAGAAAAAAAGAAGAAAGAAATGTATATATAAACACACACACACACACACACACACACACACACACACACACACACACACACACACACACACACACACACACACACACACACACACACACACACACACACACACACACACACATATATATATATATAACTTACAAAGCAGTCAGATACTTTTTCCATTTTATGTGAAGCTTCCACACTGTTTCCCTTGTAATTAAAAATCATACCAAGAATAATTTTATGTCACATGAATAAGTCAATAGAAAACCATCAAAGTAATTGAATATGCATACCAGCTTATTAAATTACTTCGATGGTTTTCTATGATGCAACTTGAAACAATGCTTCAGTGTGAGGGGTTTCGGGATGCTACAAAAAGGCCTAAAATTTGATGTCATTAGTTTCCCTTATTGTCCTCCTCCCACCCATACAATCTGACTCCATACCACCCCATCTTCCACCCACTCTCACCCTTTTACTGTTCCCACCTCTACAAACCTTTTGAGAACCCTCTTTGGTCCAACCAAGTGGGTCCAATTCTTTGTGATTTCCCCTACAGCCCTGTACTCTGATAATACCCTTCTCTTCCAACAATGTTCCCAAAAACAAGTAGCCAAAGTTTCCTTTTGCAGTCGTCCCGATCATTCACGCCTAGTCACAGTTACATCCCAAGCTCGTGAACTATCTACCCTGACTGGCATCACTGGCAAACCTATTCTGGCCAACCTCACTCCTCCCCTAATACTTGTACCGGAACTGTCTCCATCTCTACAACTGATTGTCCTGTCTACGACAAGGACTGGGCAGACTATGAAAACGACTTGTTCGCATACCTTGTTGACTATGATGCAGTGCTATACCATTCCTCCCAGAGACCAGTGTAAGTCCTGCACCAATATTGCCAAGATTAACTTCCGTAGACATGACCTCCCATGAAGTTTATATTGGTGGAGTGTCCTGCCCTGTCTGACCATATCGACCCTTTCCCCGTCAATATCAGAAATGTTGGCGTTTTGGCCACCCAGTCAAACATTGTCACTCCACAGCTCGCTGCCCTCTATGTGCCCAACCTGGTCATGACCATTCAAATAGCTCTTCTCAGTCACGCGCGTGTGTCAGTGGTGGAAGCTCCCATAAAGTAACAATCTAAACGTTTCATTTCATCTGCTACCACATCCTCTCCTACACCCTCCTCTCCCTCTGCTCCTCGGGGATCTATTCCATGTTTTCCTTCACATAAAAAAAACTTTGTTTCTCAGACCTCCCCATCCAACTCCAGCAACTCTTGAAGACATCCAAAAGCTCTTAAATGTGTTTCAAGAGAATGATTCACTTCCTCATCCCCCTCTAATCCCTTTATTCCTATTCGCTCTACATACAAGGTATCCGCCGATATTCATCCTCCTCCTCAAGTTCACCCTACCCCTCTTACTCCCACTCACCCCCTAAAATACCCCTATTCTCTCCTCCTCTATGTGTATATTTGCATCACCATTCCTTCTTGACTGTTTCATAATAGCTCTTATGCAGTTTTCCTCATACAGTGTTACTTTCCCTTCCTCAGACATACTCTCCATTTGATCATTTCGTCCTATACCTTTGACCCCATCCCCTTTTACAGATCCCGACTGCATTCCATTTACTCCCCCTCTATATCCTTTTCGCTACCATTCCATTCTACAGCATTCTACAACCTTTGACATCTAACACTGATCATCAACTCACCCTTTTCGCCACAATACTTTACCATAGTGCTATGGGGGCCGCCGTAGTACAGTTGTAACGCGCGCGGCTGTCGGCCAGAGGGTCTGCCAAATCCTGCCTGCCCTTCACGGGGGAGGCCCGTCGTAGCTCTTGATCAAAAAGGGAGTTCCGTGACGTTAAACCAAAAAAAACAAAAAACTTTACCATAGTGCTATATGACCTTTGATGTCTAGCACATTTATTTCTTCTAACTATTAACCATTAACAATTCCCTTCATCTAACCTTTCATAACCATGAAGCTTGTTCCTTCTATCAACATTATAGGAAATGCTATCCAATGTAGCATCTAATTTGGCAAGATATTTTGATATCTTAATTTTCTCTAATAGTCTAATATATGTTTTATTCCAATCAGTTTTTGGATACAGGTGTAACTTTAATTATCAAAGTAATCAATTGTCATCCTCAGTGTTCCTATGAATACTAGTCTTAAATTTCATTACCAAAACCCCAATCCCATACCCATGTCGTTGTGAAGGGCATGGGAGTTGAGGGCTGGAGCCCAATGTTGGGGAGTTTCTCTGACTTGGGCATCATACATTGGCATAACCAATTCTCTCCCATTTCCATTTTTCCTTCTCTTCAACCCCTCATGTCCACTTCCTAAGACATGAGAGCCATTTCAAAAGGATAAAAGTCTTGAATGGCCTTGGGTACGGTATTCTCGTTTGGTTGTCCAACCCTTATCCCTCATGGGGATCATGAGGGGTTAACTGTTTTTTTTAGCCAGTAATGATTTTTTACCCTTATTAGAGGTCATTGAGGCTTGCCCCTTTATCATAGAGCCTCACTGACTTTCCCCGTCCCTTGGCTCTCCTTTGATAACGACTCTGAACACTTTTACTACTATCCCCTCCTTGATATTTTCCTTCAAGTTCAGTCTGTTTCAAGTCACCCTCCCAGGTTGTTACTCAACCTTCAGAAAACATTTCTTTCTCTCTCCCAATATCCACTACTCAGCCATTTCTACCCTTTTCTCTTCTGTTACTATTCTTCACCCTTATTGTTCACCTCTGCAATTCTACCTCTCTCAACATCACTCCCTCTTCCTCTTATCCTCATCCTACTACTTCCCCTTCACAAACTTTTTGAGTAATCTTTTTAGCCCAGCCAAATGAGATCGTACTTTTGTGCCTCTCTGACAACACCCCCTTCTAAAAATGTCTCTAAAAACAAGAAGGTAAAGTTTCCTTCTGGAGCCTTTTGTTCTTGCTTTGTCACTGTTACATAACCCCTAAATGACTTCATCTACCTCCAGTCTCGGCTTGCATTGCCTCTACACTCAAAGTGACTACTGACATCCAACCTCCTCCTCAACCTCTCTACCCTTTTTGATACCATGTAAACCTAAAGCGCTGTACAACTTTTGACATGTAGCACATTTATTCCTTATCTCATCCCCCTCTCTACCCTTTTTGCTACAATACCTTCCTATAGTGCTACAAGACCTTCAATGCCTAGTACATTTATTTACTTTTTGACCATTAACCACTTCATTACCAACACACTTATGGTTTTTAAATACAAAAACAAATTCTATGGAAATGTTTATTAAAAAATAATACAAGTATTGAGATTTACAAAAGAATATCATCTATATTGTTAGAACAACTACACAAGCAAGTTTCCCAAATCAGTTTGAAAAATTAAAGGAAAATAAATATTTAATGAAATGTCAATATTACAGTTGATTCAGAATGATGTCATCACAAATATTCTTTATAATGAGTATTAAGCAGTACAAGGAATTAAGACAATAACATCTATTTTATATTAGAGAAAGTAAGAAAAAACAAACAAACAAGGGTAGGGAGGAGATATTGATGAAGTACTAAAAAAATATTTTGACTTTCAAAAATGATGATGAAATTGCTTGGTACACAATGGAAACATTTCATGCTATTTGGTAACTGATAAATTTTGAACAATATATGGATTTGTTCCTCTTTTCAAAAATATTTGTGACAATTCCATGACTAATAAATAAGATTAAAGCCATTATTACAAAGAAATCTGATGAACCCTTACAGGACATGATATTTAATCCCTTTATTAATTTAGTTGTTATTTTTTTGTGGGATGGAGTTCCTTTACAATTACTGAAGAACTACTGGTGTATATATATTGGTTAAATATTCTAAATTTCTTGGAGCAACATTATAATCCATTTTTATAGATTCACAGTCACTACCAAATATAATAACCCTCTGAAACATCAGTTAATTTTTGACAAATAGTGATACAAATGGAATTTGTTTCACTATATCCAGTACATTAATATGGATCTTCCATATGGCTAAAACTGTTTAGTGATTTTTCAGTAAGGATATATGCCAGTCATAAGTACCTGAGGGTATCACTAAATCCTTGCTGAATGTCTGTAATTATCCATCCTTAGAGGGTTATTAGCAATATCAATATGATTGAAAAGAATATAATGTTTTGAGTAAGAAATGAAAATGCTATGCTAGCTTGAATAGCATACAGAGTCCAAACTCCATACAAATTACACTGCTGGAACCAGATTAATTAGCCGTGTTCCACCACAGTCATCTCTCCTGTGAAAATACTTCACAGCTATAACAGCCATCAATACTGCTTCACTAGTATTGAAGAAATCCATCAAAATATACAGAAGTCTCTTAAAAAAGGACTTTAACTCTTGGCATAATATTAATCAAATTCTTGTATGCAAAGAATGAAGTCCACATACTTGCCTCTCAAATCACCAAACAAATTTCTTTATAACTTGGTTGGCAATGTTTCAAGAAGCTCTTGTGTAACCAAGTTTGTACATTTAATCACTGTATCTACTGGTTCTTATCAACACTACTGTTTTTAAAATTCGTCATGTCTGACAAGAGCTTCACCAAAGTCTGTTGCTTGAGAACCCACAAATACATCATACTTATTCAAGATTTCTTCCTTGGTAAGCATTTTATCATCATTATCATCTGCTTCATAAATGAGGTGCTTGGCTTCTGCATCGGCATGATTGTAGTCTGGTGGGATGATCCATCCCTGGACCTTAAAAAAAGAAAAGAAAATTATACATATGCATATATCACTGTTAACCTGTCTTGTTATCCATTTTGTATTTTGTGTCTGTGAATAATAGCAAATAAATTTTGCAATTATTTGGCAAGAAAAAGTGTTGCCTTCTGCTGCCAGCTGCTCTGATATAAACAATTTTGGTTTACCACAGATTTTTAAAATTCTTGCTGTTCTTACACTTACAAATACATGTATATTTATTTATTTATTTTATTTATCTTTACTGCAATGCCTTGTGATGTGCCTAGTTTCATTTGTGTAAAAATGGCAAACTGGAAGCTGACCTTCCTTTAACTTTGTATTTCTTCATTGCTAATGCTTTATTACTATATCTAAAAATAAAATCAAACCATGATGTATATCATTATCTGTCTGTACTCTACTTCATCATGCAACACATTTTGACCTGTGACAAACCACATTAGATGACTGTGGTTGCAGTTCCTAACTATTATTTATGACATAAGGCGACTACAGTCCAAATCCTTAGATTTTTTTTGTTCCTGCACAATGGAACTATAATGCCTTTTTGCCCAGAGAGATGTTACCATCTGTTTCACTGACTATAAGAGACTGGCTGCTATGTCTGATATATATATACTTTTACTGCAATTTATTGCACAATAAAATAATAACTTCTTTTAAAATATGTTTTAGTGAACTGTGTGTAACTATAGATGCTCCTGATGCAAACATAGACAAAGAAAAATTAAGGATTTTTCACATTTTATATAAATAAAACCATATTTTTTGCTTGAAATCACCTTTTGAACACTTTTAGTCAAAATTGGAATCTTTACTGTTATTCCAAACAAAAAAAACAATAACAATGTTCTGTTTAGCAATTTCATTTTCTTTGCAACTCAACCCAATTTCACTAGGGATAGCGTGTATGTAAATGCCATGCCCACTATAGGTTTAGTTTATTAATTGGCTTTACACATACATGGCTCCACAAGTACTTAGTCACCAAAAAGCCAAATACTAGCACTACCTTTCTCACCTGTTTGCCCTTTTCCTTGATTTTATTCTATTGTTAATAACACTAATATTGCATTGATATTAATAGCATTAGAAAAAAAAAACTCCATTAAGGGGAAAATCTGGTGAAGTCACTTATACAACCAACTGACTGCTTGGTGGCTGAGCACTGGAGGTAACCTTGTCTAGATTAATTTCACAAAAGAATACTACGATGAGTATCATTTTCCAGTTGGTAGTAGGTTAAGATGCATACAGGAGTCCAAGGGCTGATAAGACATTCTCACTAAAGCAGCTGTACTTATGATTTCATGATAAAACTACATTTTTGGCAATACATCTGAACTTTTCCTCAAATTCCTTTAATTTACTTTCAAATAGGTAACTTTGTTTCCTGTTCTAGAAAAGATAGATACCTGTAAATCTCAGTCTTACCTCTTCCTCATCCAAGTACCCATCATTGTTCTTGTCTCTGAATTCGCGGAACTGATCTCTCTCGTTGCTCACCCATGATGGCTCAAACTCGTCATCATCTCCATGATACATGTCTCCTGTGAAAGGAAAAGATGATCATGGCAATTTGAAGAAATACAATATACTGTAATCTGTGATAGTGAGAAAGATAAATCAGTGGAGAAATAGAGAAGGAAATCAAAAAGACAGAATGTGCATTGTAAATGCAATGGATTATTTAGCACTCTAATTTCATAATATATAATTAAAGCAATATACTGATGGCAACACTATTCAACATCTAATACTATCATCCAAAGCCTCTACTGTTCTCAAAGATCACCAGCTTAGTCTTACCAATATATTCTTCCAGAGAAATTTTGCCATCTTTGTCCTTGTCAATATCTTCCATTGTTTCCTGGACAACAATTGCTCTCATGCGCTCGGACTCCTCTGGGTGCAAGAAGTTGGTGAACTCGTCTAGGCTGAGGGCATTATCATTGTCCTCATCTGCAACCTCCCACCGGCGCTGGTCCCTCTTCAGCATCTCTGCATAAGACATGCCTTCTTCTTCGTCATCCAAATCCCCAGGGTCCATGTCTGTGAAGGAAGGACACTCTTCTATTCCAAAAGTCCACTTTTTACAAAATAATGAAGAATTACATAGCAGGGAACTTTTTTTTCTGAGAGAGAGAGAGAGAGAGAGAGAGAGAGAGAGAGAGAGAGAGAGAGAGAGAGAGAGAGAGAGAGAGAGAGAGAGAGAGAGAGAGAGAGAGAGAGAAAGAGAAAGAGAGAAAGAGAGAAAGAGAGAAAGAGAAAGAGAAAGAGAAAGAGAGAAAGAGAGAAAGAGAGAAAGAGAGAAAGAGAAAGAGAAAGAGAAAGAGAGAAAGAGAGAAAGAGAGAGAGAAAGAGAGAGAGAAAGAGAGAGAGAGAATACAAGAGAGAGAATACAAGAGAGAGAATGAATACAAGAGAGAGAATTAATACAAGGGAGAGAGAATGAATACGAGGGAGAGTGAGAGAGAACATGAGAGATAATATGAGAGTGAGAGAGAATATGAGAGAGGAAAAAGACAATACAAGAGATAGAGTACTAGAGCGAGTGAATGTGAGTGAAAAAAAGGGCGAGTTCGAAAGCGAGAGTACGCTTGTAAGAAAAACAACAATGTGAATGGAGAAAAGAAACCAACAACTACTCACTGTCCATAAAGCCATACACCATGTTCTTGTAATCTGCCCAGTGGAGAGTTTCCGTATTCTCAGGGTTATTAGCATTCCACTGCCTCTTCACGTCATCTGTAATGTAGCGTTTCTGTGTGTAGTCGATCCACTGCTTCAGTTCTTCTTCAGTGATGAAATTGTCATGGTTGAGGTCAATCTTGTCGACGATTTTGCTGGAATCAAAGTGAGTGGATTTTATTTCTCATTCGGATTTTGCAGCCATAGCACTGTAATATAACTTTCAAAATTTGCAATTAAGAATAGTGGTTATTACACTTGCTACAATAATAATAATGTAGTAATGTCAAGGGAACGATTTTGGGTAAAGAAATATAAAACACTAGTGATGAGTGAGGTGCATTTGAAGTAGTAGTGGGATTAATAGCAATGGCTGAAGCATAAAATAAGGGAAAATGATAATACTATAAGACTAATGATAGTAGTAGTGGTGTTACTATGATGGAATTAGTTGTATTGCCATTCAAAGCAGTTGGTAACATTAATAATAATAGTAGTAGCAATAAAAGTAGTAGTATTTACTATGATTGTTTTAGAAGTACAAAACAAAAAAGGAATGATTTATATCAGCAATAACACTAGCAACAGTAGTGCTAGTAATAGCAGCAGTTGCAGTACTAGCAACAATAGCAGGAACAACTGCAGACGTGTCAGAAGCGCCAGCTGTGGTAGTGACAGCAGTAGGAGCAGGAGTAGGAAATGTCGCAACAGCAGCAGAGGTTGTAGGAGGACAGTGGAACTAGCGGTTGTAGCAACAGTGGTACGAGGCAATCGCCGAGTCGCGCCGCAGCAGAGGCCCGGCCGCAGCCACGCCTCCTCCCCCTCCTTACCCGAGTCTCTCCTTGCTCTCCTCCGGTGTGAGCTGGTCGAAGGTCCTGGCCTCGTCCTCGCCCAGGAAGGCCTCGTGGTCGTAGTCCAAGTTGTGTTCGTCATTCATGTAGTGCTCCTCGTCACTCAGCTTGTCCTGCGGAGAGAAGGATAGTTAATGAAAGAGGTCGGTCGCGGCGCCGCCCGCGCTGAGTGGCCCTTTGAGCTCCTGGGGCTCCTGGCTCATCATTCGGGGGTAGCAGGCCTTGTGTCTGAAGGAGAGGACTCGCCGCTCGCGCTGAACTCCTCTGACTCCACAAACACACTAAAACATTCACTAAACAAATATCAACGATACTCCGGAGATAAAACGAGAGCGGTTTACTTACAGTATGTACTCTGGACTTCTTTTCTTCATCTGCAGGTTTGGCCGCAATGACGGCGGCGAGCAAGAGGCACAAGACAACAGAGCGCTCCATTATCGTTTCCGACTCGTTCCTGATGCAGGAAATCTGCAGGGAGAATATTTGGTTAATCGTTGCCACATACGTAGAACATGATAAAGACAGAGACAATGGTGACAAGTAACAGAATAGGAGACTACAGACAGAATACTAATGACCTCTGTAGAAATATTATTAAAACCACGATGAAATTACTTGAATTCACTTGCATATCACCATTACTAAGGTATGCCTTGCATTCTCCCACACTATAAGTATTCGCGACTTTGCATGCCGGGACAAAGCTCTATCAATTCACACTTGAACACTAAGGATGTGTTGTCAGACAGGACAAAGGTTTCACGCCGCCCCACGCCCGTACACTCAACATCACCTCCCAATTCACTCCCTTGCAAGACCCAAGAACACAGAGTTGCAGTGACGGCCGCTCCCCTACCTCAAGTCACTACCACACTCTTCCCTCGCCTGGCTTCGACTGAGCCCTGGACCCGAGCGCCTGCCCTGAAAAGGCGCTGCTGCCCCTCCCTACCCCTCCGCCCTCCCCCGCACATACCCTCCCTCTGAGGGGCAAAAGAGGGGGGGTGGTGAAGGACAGCTGGGAAGGGTTAACGGAGGGGGGGGGGGCTAGATGTGGGGGTTGTCGAAGGATCTCTCGCCGTCGTCTGCAGCTTAATAATTTTAACAGCTCCACACGGCATGGACAGTTCTAGAAGCAAATGCAACGGTTTCTGTCTTCCACCAAGAAGCTTCATTTGATTCTTGAAACTTATATCTAACTATCATCCTCCCGCCTTATTAGAATTAGAAAATTAAATTTCAGGTGTCAACCATTCAACAGCATGCGATGGTCAAGTACAAGGTTTATCTGCAAAAACATGTAGTATTAAATCTTCATCGCACTTTCCCGCAAGTACGGCCAATTCGCACTGGAGATTTGCGTCATGTCCACATCCGCAGCAATAACGAAAATGACCAAAGAGAAAGGGAAATAAAATAAATGAACAAATAAATGTAGATCTAGCGATCTAGCGATCTAGTGAGAGAGAGAGAGAGAGAGAGAGAGAGAGAGAGAGAGAGAGAGAGAGAGAGAGAGAGAGAGAGAGAGAGAGAGAGAGAGAGAGAGAGAGAGAGAACAATAGCAATGAATAGAAAATAACAAGAGCGCGACTGGGGCGTGAAAGCGACGTCGTGCAGCGCCATGCAACCCCGCAGGCATCGGCGTCACGGGCAGCGGCGACCCTTCCCCCATTTTTCTCTGCTTGAGGGCGGCCGCGGCGCGGGCCTGCGCCTCCCCGCGCCTCCCCTGCGCCCGCGCTCACCTATTCTCCCACTCACGGCGCCTTTATTTTAGGGAGAGGGGGATGGCATTTACCAAAATATGTATATGTGTTTATATATACATGTATAATTCACAAATATGGTGAATTATACATGTAAAAATATATATATAATATAAAATATATGGTATATATACACACATGTACATCTTCCTATCTATATTTAAATATATATATATATATATATATATATATATATATATATATATATATATATATATAGAGAGAGAGAGAGAGAGAGAGAGAGAGAGAGAGAGAGAGTATATAGGGGGTCTAGAAAGAGGAGAATTACCTGGAGAAAACGACTGGTCGAACACTGATAACATTTTCAACATGACTGATGCTTGCATCATACAATCACTCCTAAGACTTCACAAAGGCCACCGTGTCAACGAATCGGGCCCATCGCGGGGAAGCTCTTACGACAAAGCAAAAAGGAAAGGAAAATAAGCAGGCTTCAGAGACCTAGAGATAAGGAGGCGTGGCTGGGACTTGGTGGGGGGGGGGGTCAAGTGGGGGTTCGGGTGTACCAACAGAGAAAACGGGAAGCGGGAGGTCGAGGGGGGAGGAGAAAAGGGGGGGGAGGGAGGGGGTAGACGGCGGGACGGCGGAGTCTGAGGGGAACACGATCTCTTGAACAGTAATGCGGGGGGGGGGGGGGGTGTATTTCTATGTGAAAAACGTCACATTCAATTGCCTGGAGCGCTCTGACCACACTGCGGGCGGCGAGATGAGGCTGGAATTACAACCTGAGCAAAAATACGGAAAATGAACGCCTGGGAGTACTCAGGAGGGGGAGAAGCGGGAGGGGAGAAGGGGGAAGGGGGAAGGCGGAAGGGAGAAGGGGGGAGGGGAGAAGGGGGAAGGGGGAAGGCGGAAGGGAGAAGGGGGGGAGGGGGTGGAGGAGTGACGTGGAACTTAGAAAACGTTCATTTCATTGGAGAAATAATATGGTGCGACGAAACTCTCCTTGCCGTCAAATGCTCCGTCGGTCTCGCATATTCTTACAAGACTCCTCACAAGGACTTAGACAAATTCACAGCCATTTAGGACGAAGAAAGAGAGGAGGAGGGCGGCGGATGGGGGCGAGCTCAAGCGGCGGAGGGTGGGAGGGGGGGGGGGCAGACGGTGACGTGGAGGGACACGTTGGAGCTCCTTGGGTGACGCAACCGGAGGAGCGCCGCCCGAGGCCGCCACGACAGGTTGAACACAAGGAGAGGTACTGTCGCCGCCTCGCTGTCATGGCGTCAGTCATGGCCCACGAACACAGCGGCCGCCATTTCCCACCGAGAAGAGAGTCCTTCCCGAATTCCCCGCCGCCAGACACGTGGAAGTTTCAAGAGGCGAGCGGCCGCGGGGGCGTGTGAGGGGAGACGGAGAGGGAGGGGAAGGGAAGTGACGTAAAACTGAACAACGTGGAAGGAGCCGCGTTGGCACTCAGAGGGGGGGTGGGGGTCAGGGGGTGAGCGAGTGAGGTGGAGGCGAGGGTGCCCACCAACCACCACAGCCCACGCGCCCGAGTATGCCAACACAAACACACACTCATACATATATGAACACGCGCACACACACACACACACCCCAAAGCGAGCTGTATTCTTGCGCTATATTTTCGCAAGTTCTCTCTGGTGCTGACGCCTACGAAGGACAGGAAACGAAACGAAACGCACCTTGATGGCACCTCGAGCGAAACAGGATCCCCTCGACCTTGGCTCTCGTCCCTTGCCGGGGAAACGAGGCCAAACAGCGTTCAAATCGCCCGCACTTCGCCCTCCCCGCATGACGCTCTGGCCTCCTCCCTTAAATGATCGAGAAAGGCGCTCATTTCCCTCATTACGAAAAAAAGTCGCTCAGAAATCGGTTCATTTTTTGCCGAGCCTGGCTGCCACGGACGCTGTTACTAAGCAGGGCTTCCAATCGTTAATCACTGATGTCATATCTGTTTTGTAGAGTTATAATCAAGAAGACTTTATTCGTTTTGTTTGCAGCCAGCGAGTAATGAGGAAATTCATATTCTGGTTAATAATGTCCGATTTTAGATTTATTAACTACACAGTACTCAAGTATCTGCACTGTTACAAGGAGTAAATCCCTACTTACAACCACAATATAGATTTTGTAATTAAAACCATATAAAGACTTCGCAGAATACCTTTGCGTGTTAATCAATTATTTAAAAATCGTCTGCCGCGCTAACAGTTAAACACTTAAATAGACGTGCTAACCAAATTCATAAACCTAAAACCAACAAGAAAATGGGATGACAACCGGACTATGGTGAAAATATTTATTGGTGTAAAGCGGGAAACAAATCAAACGATTATATAAAATCTAAAATCAAGCAGTTACAACAACTATTCGTATTACTTGTACGAGTGCATTACACGTGACAGCGACAGACGTTATCATTGTCAAAAAGGAAAAAAAGAACATCACCAAAAAGACTTGATATTTTCTCTAAAATCTAAGTATGAACTCTGACGCCATGACATGCGATAACGAGCAGCCAACTACAGTGTCCTTCGCCTTGGAAGTGCCTAACGCTGCACGAACGAAACCGAAACCACGCATTGTCATATCTTGACAAAATGACTTAAGACAAGTAACTGGCCCGGCGTGACACGCTAACGACGAACCAACGAACGACTATGTTTTGTTGTTTTTATCCTCTTCCTTTTTTCGGACGTCCGGGCCTTCAGAAGCAGACTGCTTTCGAGGTTTGCGAGCGAGTGCTGCGCCCTGCTAATTGGCCGGCGGCGACACGCAGTTCTTCGTGATAGAACAAAAAACAGGTAACATGAAAAAAAGGATTTATCGACGTTGCTTCGGCACTTCCTGTTGCGACAGTTGACACATGAATTCCCTTGGCATATAATGATATTGAAAGCTACATATAAATATATAATTCAACACATGATTCATTCGATACAGACCGACTCGGCTGCCCGTGAGAAGCACCAGACCCCAAACTATCCTCCAGCTACTCCGTAAATGGCTCCTCTCTGTTCCTCTATTTCTGCCTCAGCGATCCAAAAAGACGCACGTGAAAAAAAATATATATATAAACAAACCAAACACAGTTCCCAGGTGTCAGTCTGACATCAGAACCGGCGTGTTCAAGCGTTCAAGTTCTCGAATGTTCAGTGCCCAAGGCGCGAGGGCAGCTGGGCCAGGGGTCGTCGTCATCGGGTTTCAGGGATGTTCAGCTCATCACGCTGGAAGACAAGCCCCGCGCCGTCTCTCAATCTAAACGCAAACAAAACAAGATTATAAAGCCTTCGTTAATGCCTGATTATTAGCCCCTAGAATACTGGTCTCCGCTCAGCGATTCTCTTATATCAAAAGTCTTTTTCTTTCACTCGCGAGGAACTGCTACAGTTATCGGAATCTTCAGCTTGATTTTGACGCAAACAACTATCGTGTTCCCATGCGAGGCGCACTTCCGCTTCCACGGTGTTTCCCGGAATTTAACAACCACCACCGGATCACCGATACCAGGTATAATTGATACACTCACAAATCTATACGTGCACTGTGGATGTACATATTACAATGCGCGCGCGCGCACACACACACACACACACACACACACACACACACACACACACACACACACACACACACACACACACACACACACACACACACATAAATATGTATATCAACAAATATATAACAGTATATATACATATAAATATACATGTAAATATA